CCCCACCATCTAGAACTCCATCCCGCAGTCCCTCCGCCTCGCCCACTCCCTCACCACCTTCAGGACCCATCTTCGACCGTACTTTCGATCTCCCTGCTTCCCCCCCGCCCCCCCGCCGCCCTCCACCCTCCCTGATCCAGAACCCCGGCGCCTTGGGACGTCCTCCCGACGTGAAAGGTGCTATACACGTGTAATTTTGCTGTGATTGTTGTAACAACAAAGTCCTTGGGGGTCATTTACTTTCTTTCAATAACTTTTTTTCCTTTCAGTTTACACCCTAGACAACAGTCAGACCCAATAGCATATAACAGTGACTCTTACAAATGGCTCCTTGCTTGCTCCCTGCGCTTTCTATAGGATTTCTCTTTTACCAGCGATGGATTTGTAGAAGAAACATAATTGAGCGCCACAGTGTGGTCTCTCACACACGTTGCAACGGCACACATCAGGGTCGGAACCCGACAAGCACCTGCTGGGAGAAGGTCTTTCAGTTTTACCATCAGGGCGTTAAGAAAAAAATCACCAGACAAGCGAGGCGGCTGATGTCTCAACTCCAATCTGGTGCACACATTGAGAATAACGTCTGAGGTGTTGGGGCACTGTAGCTCAGTGGCTCGGTGGTTGGAGCACTCGCCTTGCAGGTGAGAGACCTGGGTTCGATTCCCGGCCGGGCAAAACCTTGGGCAAGTTTCCCTACTCCACGTGCCTGCTAATGATCCCTCAACAACAAAAAAAATTTGGTCACTTCAATCCACAACTGTTTGTGGGACAGACGCTGCTGTGCGCAATCGGCTGCCGCGTTTTGCCCACAAAATATAAAGTCAATTCACTTTACAGCATATTCTGTGAAGCGCTTTGAGACGTCTCGAAGATGTGAAAAGCGCGCTATCAAGTATCAAATGCAAGGATTATTATTATTAGAGCGCAAGCGAGGAGGACCTGGGTTTGATTCCCGGACAGGGCGTAACATTGGGCAAGTTTCCCAACTCCACACGCCTCTGCTCACCCGGCAGTAAGCAGGAACCCGGTTGTTAGTCGATTGGCGGATCGCTTTTCCAGAGGTAATAATCCCTCCAAAAAAAAAATAAGAATAAGAATTTGGTCACTCAATCCACGACTCCTTTCAGTCAAACATCTCCAATTTGAGAGGGAAGGAAGCATTTGGGGGAGCTGACTTGCTGACTTTGGCTCGGGGTCAGACTCCGCCACTGTCTAGCGCTCCGGGACACGAGCCCACCATGAAGTTGTTGTTGTTGTTGAATGGGGAGAAATTTGACCTGGGCCCAGGTTTACAAATTGCCTTGTTTGTGTAGCGTTTTAAAACAACCAGCAATTGGCACCTTCTCAAATACAGCCAAAGGTTTTAAAAATACGTCGCAAAATGAAGGTCGGCCACAGGAAGGGTGAAACGTAAGGCAAGTTTCCTCACTCCGCACGCCTCTGTTTACCCAGCGGGGTCTCCTTGAAGCTGAACTGGCTCCAAGGTGACATGCCTGGCAGTGGAATGTCGGAATCGAGCCGGCCCTCCTCGGCATGCTGATGGGTTTCCGCACCGGTCAGACTGATCGAAAAAAAAAAATTGGGGCCTGCCAGAGAACCCTAAGGCACAGCTGAGGAACTTGGGGGCTTGACGGTCTTTTGGCAACGTGTGCGTCTAAGGGTTTCACCGTTTCAGAAGAGATCGGAAGTCTATGCAGCACCAAACACTTGTGTTGCAAATTTGGCTGAATAAGAAGGGCTGAAATGAAGCGAATATGCTGATCTTCTTCGAATGGAGTACAAAAGCAATTGAAGTACTTAATAGCATCTAAGGATGAATACAATAATGCTGACATGTTTCGTATATTGTTTGCATTTCTAATTTAGCCCACCGCTCCCGACTGAACAACAAATACGTTTCAGAATTCATTACGAAGCTGTGCGCAATACACCATCCCAGAGTGTCATCCATTACATTAATAAATTGCAGATCGTTTCGGACCCAAACTCAACTTCTTGTTTAAATCGTTCCATTGCTGCGTGAATCTGATAGTAACTACTGTACTGTGCTGTATCCCTGACTGTCCAGCGCCTTGCGACTTCCTCCCGACGTGAAAGGGCCTGTAGCACATGTAATTTTGTATTGTATTGTATCACCTACTGAACAAAGCTTCATAACAAAATAAAATCAGGTGCAATTAGCTTTACAGCAACGTCGGGCAGATGCTAAAATACAACGTGAAAGTATTGTGCAGTTAAGTTAAGCTCCGTTTATTTTCCTTCATGTTGAGGCTATCTACTCCTGATGCTGTTTCCGCGCGTTAGGAGTCACAACACAGTGAGATAAGCACTTTGGGTAATTTATAAAATCTTAGAAGCTTTGTTCTTGGCAATTTTGTCTGTGCTCATCAGCTACTTTGGAAACACGTGGATTTTACACTTGCAAGACTGTCGATTCCACTGCAATTGTGCCAGTCAGCGGTGGTTGGTTTCTGCATCGGGACTGTCAGCTGAAGCATAATCGTGTCAAGTCTAATGCTGATTGGACCATGTTGGGTTAAAACACTGCGATTTAGCTGCAAATGGGGAAATAGCTCATTTTCCAGTATTACAAACCTGCTGACATAGTAATTCACCACTTTTTAATTTTAAAATTCATTTCTTGTGCGGCTTTTGACCATATTTTAATGTGCCATTGTCAGATTGTTATAAATAAATATACGAGGACATGGTGTAAGGTGTGGTTCTGAATCAATCACATTGGAGGAGCTTTTCATTTAATCTTGTTTACACGCTTAATGTTTGGGAATCTGTTCAGTTGATTTACTTTTATGGAGCCTTAAGTAATGAATGATAATAATAATAAACCTCGCATTTGATACGGCGCCTTATCACGTCCTCGAGACATCTCAAAGCGCTTCACAGGATATACTGTAAAGTGAATTGACTGTATATTTTGTGGGCGAAAACGCGGCAGCCAATTGCACACAGAGGTGTCCCACAAACAGTCGTGGATTGAGTGACCAAATTATTATTATTTTTTCTGCATTATTCTGCATTTGTGAGCCATCGCCACCTGCATTTTCTGAAATGAATTTGCTAAAATTTGGTACATTACCTGAATTCAAAGAAGAAATTTATAGACTTTTTCAAAAAAATGTTAATGTTGCGAAAACAGCCACTAGACATTTGATTTCAAAGCTTTTTATTAACTCCTAAAGTCATTAATTGATCCAACAAAGACACCCCATTTTAAATTGGAAAGAAATACTCCGACGGATTGTTGATATAACTCAAAGCTCTCCGCTTTGGAGATCACAGAGTGTTTCTAAATCGATGTTATCATGGGTGAGTGAAGAGGGAGAATTTTAAACAGCTTTCCAAATCCAAACCTGTGTTTAAATAGCAGTAATCGTCTCTTTCTGGTACGTAGTTACAGGTGACTTAAGAATACTTCTTGCATTTTCAATCTACGGCTGTTTGTGGGACATTGCTGTGCGCAATTGGCTGCCGCGTCCGCCCACAAATATACAGTCACTTCACTTGACAGTGTGTCCTGTGAAGCGCTTCGGGACGTCCTCCCGACGCGAAAAGCGCTGTATCAAATGCAATGATTATTATTATTATTATTATTACAGCTATAATAGCTGTGCTTTGGCCAAAGAGAGACCACCACATTGTTGGGAATATTTGCAGCTCTATCCCACCCCTCGACCCCCAGAAACAAAATCCCAGTGAAATGGTTTGAGGAGACTCCAACCGGCAGCAGCTGCGGGATGGCTGTTCCTGTCAATCTGACTGACGGTGGTGGGAAGTCTACCCAATGGATGTGGGGGTGAGGTGGGATTTCCTGTGAGGTCCCAGACATTTGGTGGAGTGGAGGTGACACGTCAGATTGGGAGGTTTGGGAAAGGAAAGGGCCTGAACTGTGTGAGAGAGAGAGAGAGAGAGAGGGGGAGTGTGTGAGGGAGAGAGTGTGAGGGGAGGACCTGGACACCAAGTGGGACTTTTATTTGTGTTCACTTTAACTGAAGCTTTGCCGCTCCTTCACAGCCTCTGAGAGCAGAGCTGAGCCTTCACTTCACTTCACAAAGAACTCTCTCAAGTCACTGCCAGAGGAGACTTTGGTGGGACCACAACTTGTAGCCAACTTCCACTTGTCTCCCCCCCTCCCTCTCTCCCCCCCCTCCCCTCCCCCCCTCCCTCTCTCCCCCCTCTCCCCCCTCTCCCCCCTCCCCCCCTCTCTCCCCCTCCCCCTCCCTCCCTCCCCCTCCCTCTCTCCCCCCCCTCTCTCCCCTCCCTCCTCCCCCTCCCCTCTCTCCCCCCTCCCCTCTCTCCCCCCCCCACTCCTTCCCTCTCTCCCCCCACCCCTCTCTCCCTCCCCCTCTCTTCCCCCCCTCCCCCTCCCTCTCTCCCCTCCCCCTCCCTCTCTCCCCCCACCCCCCCCCCCCCCTCCCTCTCCCCCCCTCCCCCTCCCCCCCTCTCCCCCCTTTCCCACACTCCCTACAGGAGGGCGGAGTGGTGGCAAAGCCTCGGACGAGGTCTAAAGTTCCTCCACCACTCAGCCCCGGTCCCGGGCGGTCGGGTCACAGCACCGGCGCTACGATGCGGCACTGCTCACCCTGAACCGCGGAGAGAGAGAGAGAGAGAGAGGGGAGAGACCCGGAGAGAGAGAGGAGAGGGGAGGAGGAGAGAAGAGAGGAGGAGAGGAGAGAGAGAAGGAGGAGAGACAGAGAGAGAGAGAGAGGAGAGAGAGGGGAGACCCAGAGAGAGAGAGAGAGGAGAGGAGGAGAGGAGAGAGAGAAGGAGGAGAGACAGAGAGAGAGAAGGAGAGGGAGAGAGGAGAGAAGGAGACAGTGGAGGAGGAGAGGAGGACACATCTCCTGGTTCGGGAGTCAGAGTGTCGGAGTGTGTGTGGTCTCCGGGGGGTGTCCGGGGGGTGTCCGGGGGTCCGGGGGGTGTCCGGGGGTCCGGGGGGTGTCCGGGGGTCCGGGGGGTGTCCGGGGGTCCGGGGGGTGTCCGGGGGTCCGGAGGGTGTCCGGGGGTCCCGGGGGGGGTCCCGGGATGGGCGGCAGCGGCTGCTCCCGGAGGCAGAAGCGGATCTTCCAGACGCTGCTGTTGCTGACGGCGCTGTTCGGGTTTCTCTACGGTTCGCTGCTCTACTATGAGATACACAACCGACTGCGGAGGGCGGAGAGCGCCGCCTCCAAACACCAACAGCACCAGGAAGCCCTGTCAGCACAGCTCCAAGGTACCCCCTCACCCCCTCACACACCCCCTCACACACCCCCACACACACACCCTCACACACACCCTCACACACACCCTCACACACCCCCTCACACACACACCCCCCCACACACACACACACACACCCTCACACACACACACACACCACCAGGAAGCCCTGTCAGCACAGCTCCAAGGTACCCCCTCACACACACACCCTCACACACACCCTCACACACACCCTCACACCACCAGGAAGCCCTGTCAGCACAGCTCCAAGGTACCCCCTCACCCCACACACACCCCCTCACACACACCCTCACACACACCCTCACACACACCCACACACACACCCTCACACACACACACATACCCCCTCACACACACACACACACACCCTCACACACCCCCACACACCCTCACACACCCCCACACACCCTCACACACACCCTCACACACACCCTCACACACACACACACACCCTCACACACACCCTCACACACCCCCTCACACACCCCCTCACACACCCCCTCACACACCCCCTCACACACCCCCTCACCCCCACACCCCCTCACACACCCCCTCACACACCCCCTCACACACCCCCTCACACACACACACACACACACACACCACCAGGAAGCCCTGTCAGCACAGCTCCAAGGTACCCCCTCACCCCCACACACCCTCACACACACCCTCACACACCCCCTCACACACCCCCTCACACACCCACACACACCCACACACACACCCCCTCACACACCCCCACACACCCCCACACACCCCCACACACACCCTCACACACACCCCTCACACACACCCCCTCACACCACACACACACACCCTCACACACACCCTCACACACCCCCTCACACACACCCTCACACACACCCTCACACACCCCCTCACACACACACACACACCCCCTCACACACACCCCCTCACACACACACCCTCACACACCCTCACACACCCCCACACACCCCCACACACCCCACACACCCTCACACACACACCCTCACACACACACACACACACCCCCTCACCCCCACACCCCCTCACACACCCCCTCACACACACCCACACACACACCCTCACACACACCCTCACACACACCCACACACACCCACACACCCCCTCACACACCCCCTCACACACCCCCTCACACACCCCCTCACACACCCCCTCACACACCCCCTCACACACCCCCTCACACACCCCCTCACACACCCCCTCACACACCCACACACACACCCACACACACACCCACACACACCCACACACACACCCACACACACCCCCTCACACACACACACACACCACCAGGAAGCCCTGTCAGCACAGCTCCAAGGTACCCCCTCACCCCCACACCCCCTCACACACACACACACACACACACACACCCTCACACACCCTCACACACACACCCTCACACACCCTCACCCCCACACCCCCTCACACACACCCACACACACACACCCTCACACACACACACACCCTCACACACACACACACACACCACCAGGAAGCCCTGTCAGCACAGCTCCAAGGTACCCCCTCACACACACCCTCACACACCCCCTCACACACCCCCTCACACACACCCACACACACACACACCCTCACACACACACACACCCTCACTCACACACACACACCACTAGGAAGCTCTGTCAGCCCAGCTCCAAGGTACCCACACCCCCACACCCCCCCCACACCCACACACACACCCACACACACACCACCAGGAGGCTCTGTCAGCCCAGCTCCAAGGTACTGCCCCCACACACACCCCCCCACACCACCGGCCTGCTCTGGGTATGTGAGTGTGAGTGAGTGAGTGTGTGTGTGTGTGTGTGTGTGTGTGAGTGTGTGTGTGTGTGTGTGTGTGTGTGAGTGTGTGTGTGTGTGTGTGTGTGTGTGAGTGAGTGAGTGAGTGTGTGTGTGTGTGTTTGGGTGTGTGTGTGTGTTTGGGGTGTGTGTGTGTGTTTGGGTGTGTGTTTGGGGTGTGTGTGGGTGTGTGTTTGGGGTGTGTGTGGGTGTGTGTTTGGGGTGTGTGTTTGGGGTGTGTGTTTGGGGTGTGTGTTTGGGGGTGCGTGTGTGTGTTTGGGGGTGCGTGTGTGTGTTTGGGGGTGCGTGTGTGTGTTTGGGGGTGCGTGTGTGTGTTTGGGGGTGCGTGTGTGTGTTTGGGGGTGCGTGTGTGTGTTTGGGGGTGCGTGTGTGTGTTTGGGGGTGCGTGTGTGTGTTTGGGGGTGCGTGTGTGTGTTTAGGGGTGTGTGTGTGTGTTTGGGGGTGCGTGTGTGTGTTTGGGGGTGCGTGTGCGTGTTTGGGGGTGCGTGTGTGTGTTTGGGGGTGCGTGTGTGTGTTTGGGGGTGCGTGTGTGTGTTTGGGGGTGCGTGTGTGTGTTTGGGGGTGCGTGTGCGTGTTTGGGGGTGCGTGTGTGTGTTTGGGGGTGCGTGTGTGTGTGTGTGATTTTATTGCAGAACAGACATCGTTGTAACAACCCCTTAGTATCACTGTGCAATAAATACTGTAATGTTCACCCACCCAAAACGTGCAGTTTTTCCCACTCAATCGGTGCGCACTGTAGATTTCTAACTGTACTGTATGGAGAGAGGGCGAGAGCCGGGATTCGCTTCCGCAATAAAGTCCTTAGGAGGTTCCCATACAACTCGTGAAAGTATTTTATATATTGTTTTAAAAGAAACTCCAGGGATGTGTTCCGCAATATTCACTCCACTCTGCGGTAGATTCTGTGAAGCGCTTTGAGACGTCTCGAAGACGCGATGAGGCGCTGTAACGCATGCAAGGATTATTATTATTGTTATTTACAGTGCGCGACGGTGTGGTTCCTCACATGGAAACCGCGCTCAGACTCGTGACTTTTTCTTTTACGTTTTTAAAATATCTGCTGTATCCGTCTGCGTTACCTATTCCAGGCTCTTGACTTCATTTCTGTTCAGTATCAGATCGCAGTGTCCGTGCAAATATACTTGTCGGGGGCAGAGTCTGTCGAGGGAGGAGAGTAAATATTGGCGGTTCAAAAGGGGTGAATAAAGTGAACCGCCCCCTCCACTCACACCCACACACTGACGCACCCGCACCACAGCCCTCCCCCCTTCTAAACGTTGCGGTCTTGAAGTATAAATCATGTCACCTCCTGTCCTTGTGTCTGTATTGATAAAACTCTCCATTTGAGCCTTGCTGGGAGCGATTGCGTTTCCGTGTCAGTTTTGGGCTGAAATTGACATAACGAGCGACTCAAAAGTGTAAGAGATGGACAAGTCATCCATCGCCCGCGAATACTGTGTGCGGTTTCTTTTGGATTGTGCGGATCGCTTTTCCGGGGGTAGTAACCCCTTCCAAACGAAGCGAAACAATACTGTTTTGGTCCCTCAATCCACGACGGTTCTTGGGACGCTGCTGTGCACAATCGGCCGCCGCGTATCGCCCGCAACATACGCAGTCAACTCACTTTGCGCTGTATCCCGTGAAGCGCTTTGAGACGCCTCGAAGACGTGATCAGGCGCCGTATCGAATGCGAGGATTATTATTATTATTTCCTGCAGCAATCTTGTGATCAATGAATACGTGTTAAAACTTTTACTCTCTCTCTTCCCCCCTCCCTCTCTCTCTCTCTCTCTTTCCCCTTCAGTATTCAATGTGTTTACAGATCTGCTGTCCTTTTTAATGAAGTTTTACAAGTGATTTAATCATGTGATTCAAGTTACCAATCCTAGTACTAAAAGATCAAATGATTACCACTGTGTATTTTTTCATTAGTCTCTCCCCCCCCCCCCCCCCCCCCCCCCCCCCCCCCCCACTAAACTACTTACTGTGCGGTAGTTTTTCCATTTAACTCGATGGCCTTCATTGTCTCAAACTGTAGTTTTTCCCCACAGCCGCGAGTTATTTGAAGTCCTGACTGTTACATGCTTATTTCCAAATGTTTCCAAAATTCATTGCAGCAAGTTATGTTTAAACAAAGCGATTGCCAGACTGCAACATCTGCCCAGTCTGGCCCCTTCATACTTTACGGAAAGAGTTAAATTTCGGCTTGGGTTTAAGTTGTGGTATAGCATCTCGTTTGATGATGATCTGGGCCTGAATCTCCGGCAAATGCAGCCCCGAATATCTTCCTATTCTCCACACGTCCCATCTCTCGTATTAATAGGTGTGAGTGCATAGTTGAATGTTCCATCCTTCATGTAGATAACACGTTTCGTCCACAAAATATACAGTCAGTTCACTTTACGGTATTTTTTGAGAAGCGCTTTGAGACATCTCGAAGATGTGATAAGGCTCTATATCAAATACAAAGATTATTATTATTACTTTTTTCAAACCAAATCCTTTTGCAGGAGGTTGCGAGATTGCGACGTACTGACGGTAGATATACTCAAGATTTTTGGCCTTTGAAACCTTTTTGAGTGATTTTTTTTTTGAAACCTCGAATTATTGGAAATGGAGCCCAGAAAGAGAGAGAGAGAGAGAGAGAGAGAGGCAAAGAATATTACCGCAAAGTGCCATCCTTCAACAGCAAATTATTGACACTGAAGCCGCTTCCAGTATCTAGTTCTTAGCCGTAATTTACTTTATTGCTTAATCCTAAGAGTGAAGTGGATTTGGCAGCATGCATTTACCACCTCACTGTCAGCAGACATTAGTTGCATTGAAAAAAGACCTTGAGAACACATGTTACCAACACACTGCCAGCTGCTGGGAAGTGGTGTGTGTGTGTAAAAAAAATAGAGGTTGCGTGGACTTGACGTGTACAGTATTGATTTACTCTGGAGTCTTAGTGTCAACACAATCCCTCCATTGTAATCGGTCGGGGAAGAAATGTGAAATGTCACAGTTTCTTCCCTTTTCCGGTTTCTTTTCAGGGAAGAGAATGTGGCCCCGACACGAGGCCCCTTTGGGCTCCAGTTGCTGCCAAAGATCAGGGCAATTTGACAATTTTATGGTAAGGATCAAAGTGGAGGACCTCAAGTTGCCTTCTGTGCACTTGGGAGGCTT